CATCCCATTATACATTAACGGGGCATACAGATCGCAGATTACATAAAACACAAGTGTCAAGTTTCATTCAATGTACAGTTTAGAAGAGAGAAAAATATAAATAAATATTGAGTATATTCAATAGTATTAAGACCAGGTGAAATAATATCACGAAATCTTAGAACTCAAATAAATAAAATGAATGAACACTTACTTATTCAAATCATATTCAGGTAACAGAAAATAACTTCTTCAAAAGACTACATTAAAAATGGGTACAATAAATGTAAATAGGATTAGAATCATGAAATGGCAACTTTCAGTTGAAACTATTCTATCTAACTTATTTCTTCAAATAGTATTAGAAGGAAGTGAATATATTACTTAATAATTTAATTATATTAGTTGAGTGAAGTAGATTGATCTAATGATATTGTGAATTGTATACATTCATCAAGTTATTGATTGATGAGTACTAAGTACTGCCGTGTTCAATGTAAATGAATTCGACAATTGACTATAGAAATAAATCAGTTCGCAATAAAATCTTTACCTTCTTACTTACATCTAAACATGTCACTATGTGTTCAAATGATAACAACTATAAAATGAGTTTTAAATATTTCAAAGGTGAATTACATAAATAATTTAAAAGTTTTGATAATCATCCTATAATGAACTGGATCATTATCATGATTACATTTTATCATTTTCTATATAGAAATTCAGATCAATCAATCACAAATTAAGTCTAAAGTTTAGGTGTTTATGTGTGAGACCAATAGGTCCTAGGTTCGAATCCTGTGGGGCGGGATCGTGGATGCGTATTGCTGAGGAGTTCTACACTAGGACGAAACGGCTGTCTAGTGCTTTCATGTTTTTCCATGGTGGTATAGCTCCAATTGACTCATGATCTCAACTAATAAAATTACTATAATATTTACAAAACCTCTTTCTGATGATAATCACAAATCAATTAATAGATATGAATAAATGAATAAATATGCAGCTCAAGTATTATGTCCATGGATCATTATGTGAAAAAGGGGAAGTGAAGTCATTTAAGTGTGTAAAAATTACAAGGACGTTAGTTAGTATACAGCGATTAATATTAAAGTGATGACAAGAGTTGGATATATTCGACATCCAATTAACAAGTGTTAATTTTAAACAGTAACTAGGGTAAATATGAGCTATGTAAACAAGAAAACAATGAGCTTGTAAATGGCTTCAATATTATGACGTATATACCAAGACACTACGGATGATGAGCAGTTTTCTCTTGAGTGAATTGTAAAATTTGGCTACTGTTCAAATGTCATTTTAAAATATCAAGCTTACCTTTAATTCAGTATATTTGATTACAAAATTAGCATTTTTTTAGAGAGTTATCTGGAACTCTTGTTATATGGGGAACTATGGAAGACCGGAAAACACTAAAAAAAAACTATTTTTACATTAAAATAATCTCTATAATTCATCCAACTAACTAATAATCGTATTCTGTGTAGTGATTAACTTCTCAGGTATGGCAACCTGGACCGATGCACATATGTGCCTGGTCCTACGTTGTAGCTGGCTGGCTGGCTGATTAACTTCTCACCGTAACTTCAATATCATTTCTCAAAGTCATGACATTTGGGGTCTTATCACATTGTGGGAATAAGATAGTCATCTCACTAATGACACTTTATGACAGTCATGTAGCATTGACAGTTGAAAGAAGCTAAAAATATGAACTATTGCATTTTAACTCAGTGATTTAAAGGTAATATACTCATCACAAAACTATGTTTTCGGGTCTGAATCCTGTTAAAGTAATGGATATTCATTGCTGAAAAGTCCCAAGCTAGGAAAAATCAGTTGTTTGATTCTGCTTAGTTTTAAACGGTTATTTAAACAAAGTTCGTCCGTAATATCAAATATATTCCAATGCAAATAATCTCCAAAATACACCCAATAATCAGCACTTCATCAATCTTAAAATGTATTTGAAAAAACAATGGGTTAAGTTCCAACTGTTAATCTTACATTACATTTCACCTATTTACTACTGAATACTTTTGTTACGATAGTTTATTTAAAGAAATTTTGCAATCATACATAACGTCGTTCTAGGTTTGAATATTTCAGTGTGTTAGCATCTAGGAATTTAAAAGTCGTGGATCCAGGTTCATTAAGCCTCTTGCATAAAACGTAGGCTTATTACTTATCTGACCAAAATAAAGTTTACAACGGTTGACATGCAATGAGATTATCACAAAAACTACAGCTTAGTTTGGTAATATGGTAAGGTTTTTGAACGTCACTAACAAATTTCGATGAGAGACCATACTACTATTAAGTAGTTAAACAATAGTACATAAATTATTATTTTGATTAACGGTACTATGAAATCCCCAATATCGGTTTTTAGAATAAATAAGTGTTAAATAATGTGGAATACTCTGCAAGAAAAGTAAAAATCGATGGAAATGAGTAACAATAATGGTTCAAAACCAAATGAATAATGCTCAAAAGGAATCAATATTTGTTTTGACAACAGGAGAATTCAATGACTGGTTTCAAACCGAGTATAGCAACTTCCCGTAAGGATCAGCTGCATGATCAGTCTCACACTTTGTTCCACGGATTACTGCTTGATATGGGTTTCTGAAAAAGACCTTTAGTGCTTAGTATCTTAAAGAATGTATTGATGGATTATTAAATATCAAGTCAAAATATATAATGGATGCCTTTCCAGGTTGATATACCAGTTATTGACACAGACCGGAAGATAGATAGGACTTTAATGTGGTGAAAAGAGGAGAGAAGCGGTTCGAAAGGAGTGAATGAGATCGAGGAATAAGAATTTGCAGATAACATTCAACGAAAGATTTAGAAGGGACAAATTGGGTCACAATGACTGATTTAGGGCCATGCCAACCAGTGTTCCCAACAGGAAACTACAGATAATTTGTTGACCTGAACCAAGAATTTTGCACCTACTTACACGACTCAGAACACGTCAATTATGTAATGGACTGGTGGTATAAATTGGTTTGTTCGCCGCCATATTTCTCCCAAATAATTTTTGTGACTGTCATCATTTCGCATGAGGTAAGCGATCGCTCTACATGCGTAGCATATACCCTAGACATTTCAATGGACGAAAATAACGGTCTTAACAACCGATTTGTCATCCTCACCAAGTACCTTACTTTTGTCTAACCTTGACGATACTCACTTGGTGTTTCCATTACATTTCTAAACAACGCTATAAAGATAACTATGGTTAAGTGATTGTGACCGAAATATACGTTTCACTTTCATTTTGTACTGTTGTTTAATGTTTAAATGGTTCCTAAATATTAATGAGATTCCTTAGTTGATTTATTTCGATGAATTAGACAAAATTCAATAGATGATTTTGAGAAGAAAATACAGTTTGTTTTTTAAATGTAATCAGTTAGTAAGTTGACAAATCTTATGTGTTTACAAAATGTATATCAGCATGATTTCGCCAGTTTGTAACTTTATGTTTTAAGATGACAGATTTTACTCTCATCCTTTTCTTTCTTTTCGCCTATAGAAGTTTGACTAGGCATTTATATTTGCACAATACGTAATCACTCATTTGTAGTCATTTTATCTGCAGAATATTCTCATACATCTGATCCCTATTCTCACTATTTTATTCAATCTTCCAATTCTTTTATGTTCTCTCAGTTTGATGGTTGTAACCTCTCCTTCAAAGAACATCCTCATGATATTACCGAGAAGTACAATGAAAGTGTTTCAGTTAAATTATTCAACTCACAAAGAAAACCACACTTTCCAACATCCTCATCTTAAGCTACAAATATTCGCTAATATTTATTCCATCTATTGACTTTAGAAAGTGATCACTTTGGTTGTTAAATATAATCTTTTACAAGTTGAAATCATGAGCCAATTGAAGCTAGACCACCATGGAAAACCTGGAAGCACTGGACGGCCGTTTCGTCCTAGTATGTGACTCCTCAGCAGTGCGCATCCACCGCTGGATGCCGGCTCAGTGGTCTAATGGTTAAGTGCTCGCGCGCGAAGCCAGTAGGTCCTGGGTTCGAATCGCGCGGGGGGGCGGGTTCGTGGATGCGCACTGCTGAGGAGTCCCATACTAGGACGAAACGGCCGTCCAGTGTTTCCAGGTTTTCCATGGTGGTCTAGCTTCAATTGGCTCATGATTTCAACTTGTGAAATTTCTAAAAATCACCACAAAAACCCATTCTGAAAATATAATCTTCCCAAAAATACGTTTAAGCTGAATCATTATGCATTTACAAGTTTATTTGCTTTTGTAAGGTAAGTTACTTTGATCCTTTGGAATATATTTGAATCTTTGAGAATACTATGCTGATAAATGTCTACATTAACTATCCGACCAAATTCAGTTTTGCAATTATTTTTAACCTAATACTGTAATTCTAATTTTAGATGTTTATAGATTCTCAAGTATCTGAGGATTTAACAAAATAAAAGAATATCAGGTTTTAATACAGATTGTTATGTCCCGATAAGAATAATGAATGGTACATTTTGGGGTCCATTTATGGACCGATACTATATGCATATTTTTATTGTATAATTATTCAGTAACTAAGCTATGTATATTAATGTTCCTACTACCATAAGCTCTATTTTGACCTATAGATTATTATTATAAGATTTACCATTATTCAGTTATGCCTAATCTATCAATTACTACCTCCCATATTCACAGACACATTTGGCTAAATCTTGTATAAATGTTTTTTTCTATTTTATGGTACAATGTGGTCTATTTGATTGGTATATAAACCCAGTATGTTTGAAATACATATTTTATATCGCAGAGGCTGAGATTTGTGTTCTGGACTTAACAGGCTGGACTAGATGTGAAGCAGGACCGATACAGAGTCTAGACTGCTTGTACGGATTTTATGCGTCATTGGTCCGATCGATAATTCACTGTTCTCTAGTTGGCGGTATCATCCCATTATACATTAACAGGGTATACAGGATGCAAGTTATAACACAGATATATTTTCGTTAGAAAAAATACTAAATTATAAAGAAATTAAATTAGACGCTTTTTTACAATGAATAAAGTATATACTCTTTAAATTTCAGAGTCTTGTCGATTACCATCATGATAATTTTTAATTTTTCGATTATCACGAACTAAATTATTTCCACTACTTTCACTAAAACTATATTCTTCACTAAATCTCTCCATAGATCCTATTGGTGCTTCTAAATCAGAACGTGAATGATATTTTTGTCCTGATAGAAATGTTGATTTTGCCTCATCTGTTGTTTTAACTGGTAAAGCTTCTTCTGGCCAATGACGTTTTATTAATTTCCATCGACGTCGTGTTTTAATTTTAGTGCTCATTGGAAATTCTAATACTAGTGTTTGAATATCTCGACGTAATTCTTTATTGAATAGACCAAATGAAACAGCTGAAAGTAATGAAGAGAAACCAGAAAGAATTGCAAATCCATATGACCAAGATGGCCAATTCAATGTAGGATAAGGCATCCAAGTCTCTGTTTGATAATTCACACCGAAAATAACCACTGATATAAATATTAAAATTGCTATAAAAAATGAAAACAACACAATATTATTTGATGTTAAATAGTTAAAAAGTTAAGTTTAATATTAAAAACTTAGGTTTTATACCTGTTAAACTGATATATCTATGATTAAGAAAATTTATGACTTTTCTGTGATTCAGAATAGTGTTGCGCAAAATCATGGTTAAGTTAACATCGTTGGTAAAGTCGTAAAACAGGGATTCATTTAATGTATAACTGAATAACAATTACGAAAATACTTATTTAAACTGTACGCATGATTTATGTTGTATATTTTATGGTGGACCAAATTTTTAGATCAGTATGACACTGATTTAGATAAACAAATACTAGTGATTTATTTTATTAAAACTCATGACTTTCTAATTTCTTAAGGTTTACCTTAAGATGAATGTTTGTAACCAGTTATTTGAACTAGAAAATCAGTTTCGATGATTCATCAGAGAATTATTACAATGAGACAGATCATACACTCTTGTATGCTTAGAGGTTTGATAAATTAATCCTTATAATAAACTCCAGATAACTGATGGGAAGGACATGAAATCAGGTTGAACTCATAATGTCGAATATCAAAAGACACATACCATGAAGTCAAGCCTTTCAAATTCAGAATAGTTTTATCAGTTTTTATCAACTTCACCTAGTTGACGCTGACCCAAATTAATAATAGCATGATTAGTTGTGGTTGTCCGAGCAAACGTTATTAGTATGACTTCACTCACATTATTATCAGTTGACGTAGTAGTACCAGATATTTACAACCATTATAAAAAAATCTTAGAAATGCCATAAATATACTGCAACATCCGCTTATTTCATCTTTTTGAGATGTAAAAGCTCCCTCAAAAGTCCTATTTCTTATTTTGTTGATTCATGAGACTGCCACATTTGTTGTACAGCCTTTTAACCCGTCTAGTCAAGCTATGTCTAGTTTTATATGAGAATCATTATGAATTTTCCCTATTTTTAACACAATATTATTAAAAAATCGTTGAAAAATGTAAGTATTACGGCCTAGACAGAAAACGAGATTTATCCTACGCATAACATGCTATTGAGAAAGATCATAAAACTGATAAAAGTATATTTTTTATTCTTGTCCACAACACCTGTAAAGATCCCATTTTAAAGATACTCGAAACAACAAAGATTCGAAGAGTTATACTTTTCTAAGAATTCCGTTACGCTAACAAAATTTTTACATTACTGCCTTATCCTGGTGACTTTTAGAATAACTGCATCTCTGAAGTTGGCCTTCACACAAATTCTTCCTCACTTTACATCTAAACTATAAAATATCAATACATAAAACCAAACACGTTACATTTTGATAATAAAAAACAAAATGTATTTTATAATAACAATTTAACTAGGCTTTTACAATCCTAATCCAGTATACTTTGAAGAATAGTTATAAAAGCCAGTGTATTATCATTAAATGAATATCCACAAAGAAAATAAAGTCTTAAAAGAGAGCGTTTAAACTTTTAATGTCCTACTCTTCTGCTAAATATGTGTGTTATAATCTCTGGTTTCTTACGGTTAATGACCCAGCTATTCCTATTGCTTAGTATTCTCGGACACCGATTCACTCGACAAGTCCCCAAATCAGAACACGGTTGAACAGGGAAAAGATTATATTCCAAATAGCAAGTCAGAAGCCAGTAGGAAGCACAATAGGGGAAAACGTCGGTATATTTATAGTTTTTACATAAGAAGAATCCAGAATATTCTCCAATTATCGACTAGCGCTGATTGGATAAGAATTAGCCAATCAGCGTGCACCAAAGCAATCATGCATTGAGCATGCTTTAGTCTAGTCTATGTCCCGCTAACACCTCCCCTCTGAGCAGATTCGTAGGATCTGGTGCTAGGGTCCAACTGCAACTGAGTGACTGGCTTGTGCTTTCGATTAGTCCATCGTCTAGACAATGAAGAATTCTCACTTTTTCCTTGCACAGAGACTGACATGTCTGTTCCCGGCGTTTTGATTTTTCTTAAAAAAAAGTATGCATAACTTTTAATTCTCCAACATTCTCCTCCTCCTCGAAATAATGTTGGGTCCTTATGGCTCCAAATTATAACTAGTAGGACTTTATTTAAACCATGTTTCTCGTATTGACTGGAGAATCCACTAAAAATGACTAGATGATGATGAACAACCTTTGATCTGAGTTCATTATTTTCAAATTCATTATGAATCTCGTTAGCTGATAACGAGTCATTAAGAAAGTCAACGTCTAACAGAATTAGATTAGATTTTTGGCCATCATTCGACTCAGCTGACATATTTCCCTCATTGTTATAAGAAGGTTCATCAAAATCATATGCATTATTCTGAGAATCAATATCTGGTACACTGTCATTAGAAATGGGATAAGTTGACTCAATATAAAATTCTGTCTTCCGGTGATTTTGAGTAACATCTGGTACAATTTGGTTCATCGTGTTGCTCCAGTTATTTTCTGAATACGAGTCACCATAGCTTTCTCGACTAATAGCACGTGGACCACAATTTTGTTCGAGCTGACGTTTATTTTCGCAGCTAGACAGTACCAGTAGTGTTTCATTTGATTCTGGACTTCGGGCTTCATCTACAGGACCTGGCTCCTGATCATCTGGTATTGTCACAACTTCATGTGCATTCAGCACAGTATTTTCTTGCTGTGAGCCGGACACGTTACGAATATTACGTTGTGATTCAGGTATAAAGGGATTTGAACCCTCCACTAGATATGCTTCTGAAATGTCTGTTACTGCATCATAAACAGATTTCTTATTTTCTGGTCGAGTGAAAAGTGTGTTCAATAGTTGTTGTTGCAAGGCTAACAACTTCTGCTGGTGCTGTAATATTAACCGCAACTGTTCTAAAGAAATCGCCATTTTTCTTTAGTTTTTCCCCGTCGCCACTGTTATAATCTCTGGTTTCTTACGGTTAATGACCCAGCTATTCCTATTGCTTAGTATTCTCGGACACCGATTCACTCGACAAGTCCCCAAATCAGAACACGGTTGAACAGGGAAAAGATTATATTCCAAATAGCAAGTCAGAAGCCAGTAGGAAGCACAATAGGGGAAAACGTCGGTATATTTATAGTTTTTACATAAGAAGAATCCAGAATATTCTCCAATTATCGACTAGCGCTGATTGGATAAGAATTAGCCAATCAGCGTGCACCAAAGCAATCATGCATTGAGCATGCTTTAGTCTAGTCTATGTCCCGCTAACAATGTGGAAACACTTGTACATTTTCTCTGAAACTTTGAAAGCAGCTATACTTGGCAGTGATGAAGCCATTTTCTAAGATATCTCAATATAAAGATGGTTGACGTCTGAAAGTCAACTTCAGAATGTGTTTTAACTAATTATGACCATGACAACTACTACGAGCTTGTCAAGAAAGGCTTTAGCCTAATTTTTCGAACTTAGAAATATTAATTATTGTTATTTACAGTGTATAGCTACACTAAAATATGCCATGGGTTAGTTGATAGTTAGACTTTTATTAACTTCAGCAACAGGGTTGTACGGTTAAATCCTTGTATATTTTTTACAAATTGATGGATCAAGAAGGAATTACAAGTTTTGCTCATCAGAATTTAAACTATAATGCTTGGTGTATTCAACAGCCAGTACAGCACCAAAGTTGATTAAAATAGACATAAAAGTACCAACTTTGCCAACATATTTAGGTAACTCAGCACCGTATTTGTTTAAAGCTCTGTGTTTAAGGCGTCAAGGGGAATAAAGACACTATATGTTCAAGAATTATTTTATACACCGATGAAAATTAGCAAGCGACAATGTGACTAATAGATATAACAAACTTAAAGTGACATAATGTCGGTTTTCTAAAAGTTCAAATCTGAAATGAAATTATATTTATGCAGTACTGAACCTTAGCATGACGGACTTTATATGAAAACCAGATTATTAGTGTTTCTCTTCTTGGCTAAAAATAGCTGCTCAAAATGATTTTTGTGCACTGAACAGTATTTCGAATCTTTGCAATCAACTCATATCATGAACAGTTATCTATTTCCATAATAATCCACCTGTATGCAACTGTAGAAATCAACTTTATAGGAATGACCATATTTGCGTCGAATGTTCGTCTACCGAAACGGTATAAAAAAGTTATATGGAAACTTCAACTAGATAATGGCATTACTCCTAATATGTAGGAAGGAGAGACGTTAATAAACTGAGCTAAAAAAGAATGAGCCAAATTTGGGTCGAATTATAATACCATGTTAGAAATGGAGAAAACTGACCGTTTCATTCAAGTACTAGAAACAAAAGAAGCGAGAAACTAGTTTGTAGGCATGAAAATACTCAATGATTTGCTGTCACAAAAGACCAAAGATCTGAATCAAACTTACTTGAGCAAGAATGACAGAATGTAATTAACGAGATAAAGAACGACTGACGTTCCACATGTCTAATCCTTTTACACATGTACGCAATAAGAGTGACCACTGCTACTATCTGTAGACAAAGAGATACTGTCACCATAACTTGGATGATCAAGAACCAAACTAAAATTAATCCGATTCACGATGAATACTTAGGTAAGTTAAACGTACATGGAACCAAATCCGTGAATATTTTTCGCATATACGGAGAAAGAATCCACCAGCAACCGTAGTAAGAAATCATATTGGGATCTAGACGTTGTACAAAACCATTGACACAAAATTCCCACAATCCTAAGCGGATAAAAGGTGTATGAAGTCTAGGCCATGATTGTAACCAGTATGGAGTAACAAAAGCTATGATCAAAAAAGCGAAGGCTGAGTAGGTTGATATGTATGCAGTACGATATCTGCATTCAGTGAATGGTGAATGCTTGATTCTATGTTTGATTCTCATACGGAAACCGACCTATTGAAAGAGCACTTACAAACGAAAACAACCGTGAAACAGTAAAACAAAATAATTTGCGATTCCGCAAATAATAAAAAAATAGACTATGTTTAGTTACACACAAATATTGTGACAAAAATTTCAACAACACTAGCTAAAAAACTGTGATTTTGAATGTTCAGTAATTCCGTTTTTTGATTGAGAACATGAATCAATTGATGTTAGACCACCGTTGGAAACCTGGAATGACATCAATTTATTCATGATCTCAATCAAAAAACCTAACAATCTCCACAACCCCCATACTGATAATTCACTTTTTATTGTGATTGTTCAACATTCGTCATAATTTTTCCTCCACTTGTTTTGGCTTTAATCTTAAACATAAAATGTGCTTCCCTGAAATTTTTTGAGCTTATTCATACATTGCAAGAACGATTTTGAAACATCAGTTTCCAGTAATAGTGTTGTTAGATTGATTGACCTGTGTTAAGATTCTCACTGGCTGATGTTGACTCGTTGTTGCACTTACACTGGGGTTTGTCCTTAGACCTTATCACTACAAATGGCCTATAAGAAGCATCCTGCTGACTATAACCTTGTGGTGATTACAGAGCTTTTGACAGCTGGCTTGAGTAATGGTAGATCTGTAGCATTATGGTCTAATTCGATATTAGTACATTTATCCTTTCTGCTATAATAATAGATATAATCTCAAAATCGCAGGTTTTTCACGATGTGACTACCTAATCTAATACATGGGAAGTGAGTAATATGTCTTTATTATGTTCAAATGGGTTGGTTTCCAATCTCACCTAAATTAATAAGCTGACTTAAAGAAAAAAATTATAACGACGGGGAGGAAGAATTCCAACTGGTGTCCCAGTTGGTTTGTTAAGTTTGATACCGTTTACTTGATCACAAGGAGATTTTCTCGACTTTTTTATTGCTTAACTTGAAATATATATGAATTTTTATCAAAACTCGTTGTATTGCGTTGAAATAGTAGTAAACACGTTAATTTTGGACAGAAAGCTGTTAGTACTTCATCACATGTCCGTCAGAACATGGGCTAGATGAAATAAGCTCAGGCAGTCATCTCTTAATTATTCCATCAGAAATGAACATTGTCTGTTCTCTTTTCTCCCTCTCATTTCCAGCAACCTGATGGTATTCCCCCAAAAACATATGTATGGAACATATGACTTCGTTCTGCGCCTTCATTAATACTTATGACATTCATCTGGAAACATCATCAAAAAACACAAAATAATGCGTAAATGTTGGTGTTTTAAAATGCCTTGTCATGCATTCATCACATTGCTTCTTGCTATTAACAGCTCTGAACTACATTTGCATGCTTTCTCAATCACTATTTGCTTATCGCGAAGAATCCTCAAAAACGTATTCTGAAAATTAGGGCCTCATTAACTTTCATATTCTAATTTACGAAACATTATCCTCCTGTTCTTATTATCATTGTGTCATACAACGTTTCAACCTAACTGAATAATCCATTATAACAAATCCCCTAGCATTTACAACTTATTGATCGTGCCTGTAAACTGGCATATTTTCTTGTAAAACATTGTTATTTGAGAATAAAGTATTGTTATTAGTCTGAATGAAAAGCTAACGAACTAAGGTTCATTCGATAAAGTCGAACTACCTTCTTCTTTGTGGCATACAAATCCTTCTTGAGTCACTCGTTTTTAATTATATCAATACGCAGACTTTGCCCTCGATTTAAGCGGACTTAACTTCATGTAAAAATTATATTGAAGTGCAAAGTGCCTCAAAATGATCAGCTTGCGCTATACAGTCAAAGGTCGCTCTGGTACAAACTAGTGTACTAAACAGCAGATCGAGCAGTTAGCAAATAAGCGTCTGATACTTAAGAGTCAGTAAACGTATTTCCAACAAAGTGTGATAAAACATATCTTTGTGCATGGATTCGATAAACCGTTATAATCAAAGATCTGTATGATCTAAGTTTACGGCTCTATTAGTGAAATTATCTATGCCACGGAAATATTACACTTAATCCAACATTACAGACTTGGCATAATATGACTACCTAACTTATAATATTTTACGACTAAGCCACGTCATTGTCTGTACTGTCTCACCATATCATGTAAGTTAGTGGAATTCCTTTGAAGAAACATTGCTGAATACATTCACAGTAGTAATGGAACAACATGTATAAAACAAAAACAACACGTTACGTAGAGTGACCATAACCATACGGCTGAACAATACCGATTCTATTTAGTATTTCTGGGTAGGCTTTTCCGACCTTCGAGTGTTGAACGTCCGATTTAAGTTTTCTTAGTTATATTATGTTCATTCTCAAGGTTGTCGTGAATAATAACAAATGTCACTACGGGTCAATATTCACCACTCTGACCATTATCTAACTTTGAGTTTAGTGGAAAATAACCTTATTGTCAACGGTTTTGCACCATATAACAACAATAACGGCATTGTTCAGAGTCGGATAATAAAACTTAAGTTAAAAGACTTAGAAATATTAGTATAGGGCAACAGAAGCCTTGAATAACAGTTATATGTATAAAACAATCAGGGAAAATCATGACTTTTAGAAGCATTCATTTTGTTACACGTGCTCCTGGAAAGCCAGGAATATTATTGTGAAGTTCAAGGACAAATTAAGTCGCCCCTCGAGCGCAGATAGTCAACCACAATCATTCAGCTACGCAACCATTGAAATATACGATTGAGTCGTGTGAAAACAAAGACAGTTGGCGGAATGCCACAAAATGGCGTGGAAATGATTCAAAACCGAAATCAAGGACTGAGAAAGTAATAATAGCTCAATCTGAATAAAAATTATTTATGACACGCGGAAATGAGGACATTTGAGAAAACAAAGTCAACTTTGGTGCTAAACAATGCTTTGTTTTCATACAAAGTACATACAAGGAAGATGCACACAGATGCGTTTACACAGACCTAAGGAAGTTCGTAACATTTACTTCAAGGAGATTCCAAAAGAACGAAGATTATTTACCCACTTAATCCGCGTAACTCATCATATTGCTGAGTATACTTGAGTTGTTCATTCGAAGTAGGTGATTCTTTCGGCCTTTAGGTAACCTCGTTCTCTGATAGAAGAACCCGGACCAGTATTGAATTGGTCTTTATTTAGATCGCGTGGCAGTCACCGTGGAGCCGTGGATTGTAGTAGTAGTAGTAGTATTACTGAGAAATAAGAGAAACACGTTCCTCGTACTGATCAACTTCAATTAGCCACGTAAATAATTCATATGCAACATTTGAACTTAATTCAATTTGGTAATGAACGTTTATCACATCAATTCTATGCACCCACTTAGAGTACAAACATCATGTACATGTACATAATTGTGATTATTGTAAACAACACAGTTTGATGATAATGACTAGGATGTGTAGAATAGGAGTATATAAATATTAATAAATGTATAGATATGTATATTTATAAATAATTTAACCTTATTCGTATTTGACTTGATCAATGAATGACCTCATGCTTCAAACTCTATCGTAACATAACACATACACATACACACACACAACACTAGTTGATCAACATCATTATCATGATCAGTATTATTATCATCAATATAAGTAGTATTTAGGAATATAAAAATTTTGTTTTTCTGATCGATCTTCTATGTAAATGTGAAAAGAAAATCATTAACAATACTGATCGATCAGTAGTACCAGCAGTAGACTTCTAATAATAATCTGTGTAACGAAGAAATATGTCATGTTAGTATGTGTACCGAAAGGGGAAGTGGTTGTGGAGATTATTAAATGTTATTGATATCTAGAATCAATTATTAAAGATTAGGGAGGAATGAACAATTGTTTCATCCTAGTCTGGGACTACTTATTAATAGGCAGAACCAATTTGGAAACAGATCGATTGATTACATAATCTTAGGAGAAATATAATTAGTCAATTGACGGAAACTTGAGTGATTCCGAAATATTGATTTGAATGAATATTTATACGCAACCTTTAAAGATCGTTTTACAAGACAGGTACGTAGGTAGGTAGATAATGAAAAGTAAATACTATCGGACAGAAAATTATTCAACATTATAGTAGCTTTCAAGTCATATATAACTTCCATACATGTAATAGTTAATTCAAAATACAATTCTTAATAAATAATTGGATACCGGCTCAGTGGCCTGGAGGTTAAGCGCTTGTACGCGAGACTAATAGGTCCTAGGTTCGAATCTTGCGAGGCGGGATCGCGGATGCGCACCGCTGAGGAGTTCCACGATAGGACGAAACGGCCGTCCAGTGCTTCCAGGTTTTCCATGGTGGTCTAGCTTCAATTGATTCATGATCTCAACCATTGAGATTACTATAATATCAACAAAACCCTTGTGAAAATAATATATTGGGAATTCTTGTTCACATTTTTATAATTAATCAGCTTCTATATGATGCTTGCCGATTTCTATAGATGGTCTAGTTAAAATCAGTTCGTGATAAACTATTATTTAAACGTTTATTAATCATTAGCTTCGAAAAGAATCCCTATAACTCCGTTGGACACTTATTACCGATAGACTGCTACCAAATTCACTGACATTGGAAATATACACCAGTAAAATCCGATCGAATGGTCAACGTTATCGTGGCCACCTTAATACCCAATGGTTCTGGTTTCGAAATTATATTGTACCATAGGTGTACACTTTTAAAGAACTCAAACGTAGCTGCTGTCATGAAGTGAAGATCTATTGACAATTATATGGTGGTCACTAACTCGGATGACACAATACTTCTTTTGAATTTTGTATATGGTCAAATATGATTTCAAGACGCGAATCACGGTTTTATATTCATTAGTACATATCAACGAATTGAATTAGTATATTAGATGTGATAAGTCGTGTAGGTTGAACGCTATATACGAATCCTGAGCTATTCCCGTAACCTGCAAACTAGAACTACACAGCGACTTGAACTCCAGAAAGAAGACACAAGTATGAGAGAAAACACTTTATCCCCAGGTTCATTTTAGT